TCATTCTAGTTCATCTTCCCCACTAACAGCATTTATGTTTAAGTTCATGTCCCATAGATTCCGATAGAAAACTATATATTTGGAAAAGTTGAACTGAGAATACATTTGTGTTACATTCGAATTACGCTATCGGTGAATAATACGGTGATGAACGGTAGGGTAGTTTAGAAAATTCGCACAGATATACAGAAATCCGGTAATGAATTCAGTCGTAGTAAACTAATTAGTCCAGGTTGACTAATAATTGAAGATAGTCTTGTTCTATCTATGATTTGTGAATTGGGATAAACAACACATTTTCATGTAGATAATATAAACTCATTTTCAAAACTGTATCCGCATATTCACAGCGTCAATCTGTATCTAATGTATCCAAATGTGCAGCAACTATTTCCAGACACAGCCAGCATTATGAAAAAAACTCATCAGAGGTAGTTATTACCATGGCAACATGAAAAACGAGCAAATGACATATAATATTCATCGAAACGTACTCTGTCTGCATAAGCGAAATCTATGCATACTAATTATGGTTTATAAATGCATTTACATGCCAATGTCAAGGCCACGTCTAGTTAGACATTACCAAAGAACAACAATATGAATTTTATTTTATTTTATTTTATTTTATTTTATTATTAATAAATCAACGTAATAGTGTTCGTTAAATTACCAACAGCCATCTGAGTAACGTTATGGTTATTTGTATATGTGTCCATTTGCTACGTTACTGAGGGACAGAAAGAAAGATCAATTATGTAACCACTCATTTGTAAGCTTATCTTATTTAAAAAAAAAGGAAACTCATCAAAAAACCTGCAATTAGGGATATTGTAAATTTCATGTTCGTTACAAGGACGAAAGTGGAGTATATAGGTAGTATCGGCATATATACATATACACCGCTGTTGGGTATACTGCGCGTTTTTGTCTTATAATTTGGCCAATATGCACGGTATCAAACCACGGGTGCTAATTACTGGACTGGCATTTGTTTGAAACAAAATCATACAATAATTAAGGAAGGAAGCAAAAAAAAGATGGTCAACGCGAAACCATTATACTGTATGTCAATGATGAAACCTCATTGAATTCAAATTCAATATTAGTATATCTCTTGCTTGTTAGAAAAAACAACAACAACAACAAAACCAAATAATTATTATGTATCTGTAATTTGTCTCAAGTTGGATATACGTATTTGTCCGTCGCCTCTACGAACATTCAATAAAATACGTACATATACCAAGGTGTTATCAATTATATTCTGCGCTGCATCGCTGTGTGTTTGAAATTAACAAAATATAGTTTTCATAACATAGGAATACGTCGTAAACTGGCGAAGGGAATTTGGATGCCTACAACACAAATCAACTTGTTCTATAGAAAACAAAAACTGTTATTGTGAAATATCTACCTAAAACGGTATATTCTTGTTGACCGGAGGTAAATCACCATGTCACCCACTCCTAGCGCGCATGGTATCTAAGCAACCATATGTTGTTATATTTCTTGTGTGACATATTTTTATACTGCTCAGCGTAGAAATTTAGTAGAAGTAAATGATGTCTGTGATTTTAAAATTTAAAACCTGAGAATGAAAATAAACTTGCCTAAATATATTTATATATAATGAATATGTATAAATAATTTGCTCTTGCAAAAACGACGGGTGGCATCATGTGTGTCGATATCATATATTTCACACGCAGCCTTCGTGGTATTTATGAAGACATTCTATGCAAGCAATAAGTTAGTATTTACATAAATATGAAACTACGTATGTAAGAGTAGACAATCCGAAATGATTTTGGCTAGTTGTTAAATGTTTGTAGGACATCATGTATGTTTTAAAAGGGAGATAACACTCTGTTTAACATTGAAATGCACGATAAGTGGTATCATCAGTATGTCGCATGTTTGGAGAATTTGAATCACGTCATTGTGAAATATATATTTTGTTTTATTCAGAATTGGCGATGTGCAATGGTTGGACTTACCGTGTACACAAAAAATTAAAGCGAATATTTTTTTTTCAAATGCTGACATGACAGGATGTCTGTGTTTTTGTTATTGTTCATTGTAATTGCCTAGAGAAAGCGGGATTTTTCTAAAATCTTACGATTAGTTATATCGTAAATTTCAAGCGAGTTAACAAGGGAAAATCCGCCAGCGAATTCAAAAGATTCAAACCAGTCATGACAAGGTTTATCAAACAGGGCAAAAAAGCTACACTGACGTCTGTATATATACATATATATACCAAGCGCTTCGAGATGCTTGAAATGCACAATATTTTGTTTTAGAATGTAGCCAATATGCACGTTCTCAAACCATGTGTGCTAATTACTAATCAAGCATTTGTCACGAAACCCTTGTATGTCCCATGGTAAAACCTCGTTTATAACGAGGATCCCATCTCATTATTACAATTACCTTTGCTTGTTAGCAATCAATATTTATCGCGTGTAGTACTTGTGTATATTCTGCCCATATACAGTTTGTAATTGCTTAAATAGTAGATGCATGTGACAATAGCCGTATCATGTTTGGATTCAAATTGTAATTTTGATACCGTGTCTCAGTACACGCCCAGAGCCACCATTGCCTACGTGTTCGACCATTACCCAGAGAAAAACAAATTCAGCGCCAGTTCTTATTTCTGCGGTGTGGAAATTGCCGGCAATGGTAAATATTACTAATACCGACTGGAAGTTTATTTTGAAAATGTATTGCTAAGATAACGTGGTGTGTCGCCAGTCATCGAACGGCGTCATAGCCATAACTATAGCCGCGCTTCCAACGTCACATAATTAGCATATAATTAACAACACGGAAAATTCAAAATGGCAATTGATTATGTGGCGACTCTACGTGGCCAGTATAGTTCATGACGTCACTCGTATAAAGCAGCTTTACGAAATGATGATGAGGGAAACGTCATGAATAAAAAAATACATCGAGTATGAGGAAATTCCCGGGGGAAATTTGTATTTGTTGATACCTCAGATATTCCGTATAAACGGTTTTATTATAAAATCTACTGCTGCAACCTATTATGCTTCGGAATACAATGATTTCTCGTATTTGCATCAAATAACTATGAGGAGTCCCACAATTACGCAAATTTACAACGTTATTTGATTTGTTTCTTTACTCAGTGTAGCTGTCTTTCGAGAATATCTTTTTGTAGTATGAATGAATTAATCTCCAAAATCTGTCGACATAGTTTCATATGAACGAGTAGTTCCGGCATACATCCCGGCAGTTGCTAATAACTACTCGCCGAGTTTTGCAGAAGTTGTCAGTATTGCAGCTACTGCTCTTTCAAAGTTGATCTCTTTCCTTGTCGATACCACATGCAATAATACTTTCTGAAGATATGCGTTAAAGTGACTGCACAAATACATGTACCAAATTTGTGTCCCAGTACATCGTACAGTGAACATGTAGCGCTTAGGAAAATTCCGACGCGTGCGATGTACAAAGACATAAGAACCGATATTTTGTTGAAAACTTCCTGAAAAAAAAATTGTGATATGCGTTTTAACAACAAAAATGTTCTACGTTATGACGTCATTAAGCGCCATAACCACGTGACGTAATACAAACAAGCACCATGTATTTAAATATGTTTAAATGCAACCAATAGTTAACGAACCAAATAATATGATATATAACATTAAACATCACCACTGTGTGCATTTCAAGTAGAGTATATTGTATAAGTTTGGTTCGTGTATATAGTATATGACATACTGTCAAGTTTTTAACACACGTTGGTGATATCCAGGTGACTGGTTGACGTCATTCATACGATTCCCCTGAATGCTGACATAAAAGGATACATGTTTTTTTTCGTATTTTTCTGAGAAAGTGGAAACTCATCAGTAATAATAAGATAGATTTCACTTTCGTTACGAAAACGAATGTAAATTATAATTGAATTTATTCCACATATTAAGCATGTATTATGTATTACATCCCATTAAATATTATTGATATTCAATATCGATTTGCAGTAGACTATTGATGAACTGATCAATGCTGTCAATTCGAAATGACGTCCTTTGACGAAAATACTGTTTCTAATATGGTGTATGTGAGTATTCCCGCGATATACCGATAGCTTCGAACATTCACCACCATGCGTTGAGTGCATATACGGACTTCGCCGTTTCTAATTCCCAAAAAATCAACTTGACAGCGCATGAGAAAAGTTCCCTGATGTACGGATCGCCGAATTATCATAAAATGTGTAAGTATCAGCTGATATTATTAACTTCCAAAGTGAAAAAATATTAGTATTATTATTAAAATATTGACCCTCCCCCACAGCAAGCAACATTGGCTCTAGGAATCCTTTGACTCGTTCACAGCGTCTGCAATTCTGATGTATTTATGACTATATAAGAAACGAAATGGGTGCATGGGGTAAATAGATTTCTATCTCGTGACCCTGAGATATCAGATTTAAAAAACTCGTGTAGTAAAGGCTTATAATTTCGATAACTTTATCAACACATTTATGCTAACTACTGATTAACAATCTCTGTTTTAAACAAAGCCCTAAACTAAAGGCGGAAGCAGGAAATGAGACGGAAAACACGAAACCATTACATGTCACATGATGAAACCTCATTTTTAACGAGAAGCCCACCTTATTATTTGTAGATCCTGTATATGTTATGATATGGTATAGTAACAGTAACACTAATTTCGACAATAGCAATGTTTTGTTTCAAACCATACCAACCGTAAATTTGTTACCTTCAAATATATTTAGCTCAAGATATCCTAAAGAAAAATCACTTGTATTTGTTCTGCGTCATTGCATGTCACTGTTAGAGCAATATATGCATGTGGGCGTTATATAGACTATTCTGTTGCCCCTCCCCCAGGTTCTACCCCCGTAATTAATGAACTGTCTTGAAGCAATTAAAGTGCGCCCTCGGCATGGGTTTATAACCGTGCGTGTGGTGGTTTGTTCGCTAGTCTTGCAGCCAATACTCATATTGTGAGCTAGAAGTTAGTAAAGTGGTTACGTATAGTTTGCTGCCTTGTCTTCTCATCGTGTACCAGCACTGCGCCACAGGTAAGGCAACTTTACTTTCTTTTCTAGATATTTCATTGAATTCAAGGGATACATATCGCCTGTTTGTCGCAATGTGAAGTTAGTTTACCGTAGCGCACTGAAATTAGCAATAGTGTCGCATAGGCGAAATGTACAATTATAGTACTAGACGCACACTCGTTTAGCGTGCGGTCGTCAAAAACAATATTGTGGCCCTATTTGTACTAGCTGATGGCGAAACCCACGTACTCATTGTACAGTATAGACGTTATTTTTTTGTATTCTGAAGCGCGTGATTCCTTCTACGGTTTACTGTTATACTCATCCAGGCAGCGACACAAAATCATATCTAAATCATTAGTTAGATGTGCATAAGGATGCTTTCGCTTCGATAACAAACCCCGTACCTACTGTTCTAGTGTGAACGTATCTTCTGTGTAGTCAACTTGCAATCCCGTATTTTGTTCAGATCTACTTAATTTTGGGATGTATTGATACATGATTATTGCACTTGCACGTGCCGAAATTAAAGTAAATGTAACAGAAATGCGTTTATTTATTCGGTAGCATTATTATTTACGTTACTCATCTGGACACCAACAATCCGTACACATTTATGTTCGTTTGATGAGAAAAGTTATTTGACATTTCGCATGTTCGTGTATACTAAGCAGCACGCACGCAAGATCGTGACAAATTTGAGCGGCGGCCAGGGAGATTTTGATGAAAAAGAAAAAAAATCACATTGTCCAACCGTCTGTCCTTCTCCCAGACAACAGCACCGCAAAAATGAATTCCTCTTACAGAAAATGTGTATACCTACTTCTCAGACCATGATTCGTTTAGGACGTGGTGTTTGTAACAAGTAGGTTACGTCATAAAACTGCCCGAATGTTTATTGCTTGCAGAAATGTTTTATAGTAATTTTTGGAAATAATACGTAAATTGAAATCAAGCTGAAATTGTAGACTTTTTACCAAACACTTTGTCTCGAAAAAGGAACCCATCTGGTGTCACATATGTATACATCTCTCCGAGGATCGTAACCCGTCCTCGGGATGGAGACTGAAGTCACGGAATAAATAGATATGCCAGTCTAAAAAAAATCAATTTGACGTTACGTTAATGATGATTTATGGTTTGATTTCATTCAAAAAATTCACCGATGCTCATTTTGACGCATTTCAAATACATTCACACTCCTCGCCATTGAATTGTACTATAGTCGGTATGAGAGATACGTGCACAATTATAATTACAAGTACTTTTACATAATTAGTAGTCATCGTAATACTGTGTAATTTCTCGACATTTGCTTCTTACGGGAACTCAATAGACACTCGTTTGTCGTCGAGGTTGTGCAAATACATATAAATACATCAACGAAGGTAATTAATGGGCTTTCTCGTTTCATTAAAGCAGTCAGCACTTGTGCTTGGGCTATGCACTCATGACGCCTGTCTGTGCGCGGTAATGACTGTTAATTGGCACGCTGGGAATAATCGTGTAATAAAATATGACAGACATCGGCTATTAAAATAGAAGTCAAATGCGTATATCTGACAAATCAAAGAATGTCTATGACGGGAAGTGATCACATAGCTATTATTACAAATAAATGCATCGATGATATCTATTAGGTTCATATTAACAGGATTCCGTGGTTACGTATCTCGCGAATCACTTAACGTATATAAGCTGCTCGGCCGTCGTTAAAATCCGCTGTTGGGTGTGTTGTGGATTCGCTTTAATCGGTTAAGCACAGTGACAAGCTTTTACGTTAAAAATATGCCAAACAAAATTTACTAACAACGAATCAATCCATCTGAAGGATGTATCTTGAACTATTTACTATACAGCATAAATGTTTTCTATTGAATAGACGTTGACACATACTGTTATGTTCGAAATGTATGTGTTAAGTGCTTTAGGTTCTACACGTAAAATATTCTGCCGGTCTTGATGGGTGTCTTAAAAATAAAGTTAATTGCTGGTCGATGTATGGATGCTTTAACGGATTAACTAAATGGCAGTTACGTGTTCTTGTATCAATAGATTTTTACCGATTATAACACGCCCTTGCTCATTTTTGCTTTTTTTTTGCTACTTTGCTCACAATTAGTGATGTATATACAATAAAATTTAATACAATATCAATATATTATATGAAATATATAAAAAAAAACGATCAAATAGATTCGTGTTTAAATCAGTTTAAATCATTATACATCGCACACACTGATTATACACGGAAAGGACTAAATGACTTGTGGGCAAAACATAAATAAGTTACCAACGCGGCTGTATATAAAACTAACGAGGCATTGTGGGACACATTTGTAATTCATATAAGAATCGACGATAATTGATGGCGTCCGCAGATTAACGTGTTCATTAGGTATAACACAGTACAGTCCACAATTTATGTACATCGTTCAAAAATACGTTAACAACTGTCTGTAAGAAACAGCGGTTGTTTTATCTCCATAAATCAGTGTATTGAAACTGTCTGTGGATACAATATCTGTAGTAAGCAAGTCCGCGGCAATTATATGTAGTGTTTTTTTCCCGATTTGTATTCATGATTTTAAACGTGATTCTCACATTTATTTTGTATTGAATAGTATGGTAAGTAATTGTCAAGCTAGGCTATCAACGATTGTTACGTAGTTAACACCGAAAGCGTATTTGAATTGGTTATAATTTTGGGGAGTCATAAAACTGTTAATAACAATGACGTGAAAGTAAGCCTCGGCCGTATACGTCGCATGGTACCCACGTAGAATAGGACGCGAACAATTGCCGTGTAAGGCCACACTGATTTAATTTTATGGATGACATCCTCTGGAGACCCCAAAACTAATGCGAGAAGGCGGAGAAAAAAAAATTCTGCCAAAAAAAAACCCTGCTAAAACCACAGGACTACGGAGCTGGTATTACGAATTGAACCACAGAACACAGTGTATCAACAAAAACAACAACAAGTCTTTATTTGTAGGAGGCACATGTTGATGTACACATCTCGTTCTGTATTACTGTCACAGGTATCATCATCTTTGATTTTGAAAAGGCAAGAGAATAAGGCAGACGTTAGCTTTGCCAAAGGCATACACATCAACTCAATAATAAAGAAAAACTTACTGTGTTGTATTGAAACAAAAAATTGAATTAAAAATGAACAATAAGTTTGTCAACAGCAACCTGGAAATTAACTTCTTTGACATTCAAACTACAGCTTTTAAAGTGACATTTCAGATAGTTAAGTGTAGACAAAAATGCTCTAGAACTACTTCAACTATGTAAAAAATTATAAGAGGCTCAATATTGAAAAAAAAAAACACCAACAGAGAGTCAACAAAAATTTGGATGCAGAAAATTATGTAGATGTATCTTGCTGACTGTGTGTGCAAGCAAATTACCCGAATCAGAAAATGAAAAAAAAAATAATAAAAAACGCGGGACAGCCACTCTGGACAATATGTCCTTAAATGTTGTCTGGGCGAAACTCGCTTGCCGCTACCAATCTCTCGTATAGCTGTGTAAACGTTACATCTCCCTGGCCGACGTCAATTGCGTACTAGTCTACAACATTTTTTTCTGAACTTTTATGCTCACGTGTTTTGGTGGCGTGGTCGCCATGGTGGAATTCCCGGCAACGCAATACGCATGTGCAGAAGATCATTTACGACACAATTGGCTCGTTTTGTGATTGTCCAAAACGAATTTTACGACAAGCCAGCGCTTTGCGACAATATGGGTCGGCAAGTTTCGGACAGAAAACCGATCTGTGGCGACTAGTCGTCGGAGATTTTTTTTTTTTTTTTTTGAGAACAGGCGAAAACTAATACGCGCGCGGATGTCATCCATAAAATTAAGTCGGTGTGGCCTAATTGGTCTACACGAAACAGAGCTCATTAAAATACTAGGTGCGTACATTTTGGAAAGAGACGAATCATACACACATCAAGAATATCGTGCGCTGTAGCCATATTTAGAAAGAGATTGTTTGCAAACAATCAGTGGCATTTAATCAACGGTATTAAGTACCTTCTTTTAAAGATATATTCGCCTAATCGATTCTTGTATTGCTGCACTAGTACTAGTTAATTTCAAAGGGCTTCCTCTGTAACTCACCTCTAATCAGAAAATAGTCTCGTATACAATGCTATTATATATATACAAAAAAATAATACCTTCGGGAATTTTTTTTTTCATTGAATCCAGTCCATATGAAATCAGAATATAATAATGAATATAATAAGTTTGAATTGCCACCCGTATTGTTTAATGTCTAAAACACTAAATGTTCGTTGATTTTATAAACCTGGTGATTTGACCCTGTCGACAGACCCCGTTGCATTCCCGAAAGTCATTTACGTAAAATCTCCGTTGTCATAAAAAGACAAAAAAGACGTATGCAGCTCTTGAAACTGGTTATCCCTTCCCTGAATGTCCAAATGAATTTCCATACATTATCAATATAGTTGAACGTTTTTTTTTTCAAATCAAAAGATTCGTGTTATAATTAAGTCAAGCCGCAATGCGATTAATGTCAAACTGACTTTTGTCTGGGAAGTAATAGACCTCTCATTTGTTATTAAACCAATTCTTTTACGTGAGAGAATAAAGCATCTATCCCAAGACGTCCATAAGCTGTCATGGTGTCGATGATACATGTTTCACTACTCATACAGTAAAGGCAGCACGCCCAGGGCAAATGTCAATAAAAGCCAAACGTTTACAGTTAATGACAATTTCTACGCATGATAGCCACTCATATTGACAGTAAAACAGCGATATGGCGACGGAAGTGGCCTGCGAGTATTCATTTCGGAACTGTTAATTATACAATGAAGTATATGAGCGAGAGTCTTCGAGTTATCATCTACTGTGAACGGGTCACATGTTAATAATATCTGTATTGGTTTAATCGAGTGGTGGCTCTAGAAATAGGATTAAAAATGGTGGTTTCGTGACCCGAGGGTAGATTTAACCATTCATGCATTGGCAATCCCTCGTGTATGTTTTATCACGAATGCAGACATGGCACAATCAAGACGCTATACTTTATCGAACAATTTTATTTTCGATGTTTGTTTATTCACAAGCGGCGAAGATATAGATTGTTAAAGAAATAAATGATACGTGCATCTTATCAATATAAACAATATGAATACAAACAATATTAGTCCAATTTACTGTATCAGCATACAAAAGTCATTAGTAACCACGTGTAAATATTGGTGATATTGATTCTCAATTACACAAGTAACCATTACAGGTGTAGCTATATTGACCAAAGCTCAGTATATTTATTCCCTTGTAGTTCTCACCCGTAATTCAATCCACAGAGTATAGCCTGCTTGAGGGCATATTTTTGTTGTTGGTATTTTGAGTGTTTGCCTCATTTTTATCAATAATACGTAACATATGATACAATAAACAGTATTAGTCCTATGCACAGACAAGCCACGACACACCTTAACTAACTGGATGGGTCCCATGATTCAATGAACATCAGTCATTACTGGGTAAACATTGCAGTTAGTCCGGGTAGATGATTGAACATGTTATCATGTTTGTTTTATAACACTATAACCAGTATCTGGGAATTACATTGATCGTGATGACAACCCCAGACCGCATGCGATGTGTGATCTCTGTAATATGATAATTGTATAGTTAAAGCCGATTAAAGTGGTTTATACGGATTTTCCTTCTATATGTTCCATCACTGGCTTAGTAATTCGAACCATTGGTGCGTGTATGAGTGTGAACATACCTAGTGGGAAAACTCGCTGCAGAATCGCGCTTGTAATCTCGGTACTTCTTCTCTACAAATCCGATCGTAGGGTGATTTCAGTACTTCGACGCGGCGAAGTCGAACTTTCTGTGATCACGGAACTTCGACTTCGCAGAACGCCAAATACCATGTTCTCTCACCCAAACAAAATAACGTAATTACAACTGTTTGAATTTCAGATAAAGATGACAACTAAAGTTACATGTGTCTGTATCGTTCTGATTGCATTTATCTTTACGTCGTATGTGGATGCCGAAGGTTCGAATACATTCTTAAGATGGGGAAAACGATTCAATCCAAGTGAGTATACCGATATATATATATATTCTATAAATCGCGCCCTCTATTGCCGAAGCGTTTCTGTGACGTAAATAGGTGCAATGGACGCCGTTAACTGTCTCTATTTCCTTTCACGCTATTGCTTACATCCTGTTACGTCATTGTGTAGAGTAGAGAGTGAGATTTATTTGAACGTCTCGTTGTAATGAATAATCGTAGAGCACTATGACAACCTACTACCGTTTTATTGATATTATATTTATCGTTGCTAGCAGCTTTGATCAATTAACATACATTCTTGAAAAGAAGTATAATAACAATAATAACTACTTTCATAGTCATTGGAAAAGACAACATATAGTAGTCAGGACATATGTGGAACAAAATGCGTCTTCCGTTTATCCTCGTCATAAAATTGAAATTAAAGAATACTGCACCATGTGCCAATTAAGTGTGTAAATTTCCATTGTATGTGGAACACATAGTTTGCTTCACATGACGATGTCAGCGAATCAGTAGGACTCGGAAGAGTTCGCTCTTTTATAAAGATAAATATATATACCTTCTATTTTATTTTATCTTCGAAACCGTGTCTATTAAAAAATACGGGTTTGTTCATATTGATACCATTAACTTTCCTCTGCTTGTTTAAAAAAAAAACTTTAAGAAGCTGTGTGAATATATTTGAATTTTCATTTAAATCTTAGCAAAATTTATTTTTACGGAAGTCAATGCCACAAGAAATCGTTCTAAAGCCCGAACATAGAAACATTAAACCATAAATGAAATAGTCTCTATTACATTGTGTACGTTACACTACAAACACGACAAGAATAACATGTGTATGCATATTGAACACGCCCACTGCAGATTGCCAAACGTGTTACCAAAGTGTTTCAAAGTAGTAGGAAATGTGATAGCAATTAAAGGAAGGACAATACACTCCATCTCCGGAAAAACCAGGAAATGTTTTTAAAACTGCAATGATCGGGAATGAAATCGACCCCTCGCTGACGTATATCAATAGCACCGGTACATGGTCGGTTACTAATGGATATGCAACCATTTCATGGAGTGACAGTCACACTGTCAGATAAGATAAAACGCCGCGGGTGATTCTAATCTTGCGAATGTCTTTTCGTTAATTTGATGACGCCTAATACGACCCGCTCCATCATTGACGAAGACATGTGTAATTAGTCGAATGTTATACGCACAGTTTTTAATAAGGCTGTTTACCGTAAGACAAGCATCCGTCTTACTAGTCGTTACGTACACGAATGTATTGTGATTTAATAACCATCCAGTGCTTATCGACCAATCACGATGCTCCATTCAGGTGTTTATCAACACTAAATCATCTGTTTTAAATCAAATCACTCCGTTCTCAGAATTGTTCTAGAACATTTACGTAGCCGTACTAGAACATTGTATATGCCTTTGTTCTCATCAAGTACTCCAGAACTTTTATATAAACACTCTGGAGCGGTTCACAGGCTTTCGGACTATATATGAGTTAGAAAATGAATATTCATAAGTTCATCATCATTATGTAGATCTCGCGTATATAGTACTCCTGCGTCAATTTCATTAGGCAAATTATTGAGAACAATGATTACACATTCTGAAAGATCACAGACACGTGTGCTCCAGTCACGCACTGCGTAATAAATTTCTAGAATTTGTAGTTACATATTCCATTTGGAGTCTCACTTTTCATTGTGAATTACGTGCAGAAATTTGCATGACTCGCAGAATGCCTTCGAAAGTACGAGAATTGTTCCCAAAAAAATATCTATTTATGGTTTGTGGCGGTTGTTTTTAAGTCAGATAAGAGTCCTAATATTCGGACTTTATCCTACACATGTAATACCCTAGTGTGGTATTGTGCATTATGTTTATTTAAACAAACCAAGCATTAACACGCCAATTCAAACATGAAACATCGAAAACAGTACATACTATACCGATGTATGTGAAGTCTATACAAGTAAGCTAATTCATGTGTTCTTTACGAGTGACCAGCTTAGAATACTAGGCAACAAAGTAGGCATGGTACTGTTATTTACACTGTGTACTCTGACTGGGTAAACATGATTATTATAATTGTATACTTTTTAGGTAACGCAATCTAAATGTATTGGCAGAAAAACCTTGTACGGTGTCAACTATTAATATATATATATCATACGAATAACGATCGCCTACCACAGCAAAATACGTTGCGCTGCTTATCGTAACAAAATTGAAATGGTGGACTTTAAAATAAAACACACATTATGCAAATTAGTATTACATGTATATATCTCACATATCACGATATACAACCGCCCTGTTATTATCCACGTTTCCTTAACGTGTATAGAATTTCAAAGTGCTAAACAAAAAGGCACACCTTTTGAGTCAATTATTTATTTTAGACTAACGCAGAGTTAATTTTGTATCACTGCAACAAATATCACTCTTATTGGATGTTACAATGGACTACCCTTTTATGGTGTCAGTTTCATGTATGCCTATAGTGGCAGTGACGTCAGATGTAATTAGCGAGTGCACACGTACTTGTACGCCAAGCAGCGATTTCCTTGTTAGCTCTGTCAGCAGTGCGCATGTCATTATATATTATTGTTAGCTTATCTACTCTTGTTCCGAGACATCGAGATAAAAACAACTATTCGTGAATAATTACACAATAAGTGATAACAGTGTAACGTTGCCGACTGTCTGATACAGATATGATTTAATGCTTTAGTGTAAATTAAAATATGTTTTCGTTTTTTTTTTCGCAGCCACCACAGAGCCTGAAGAAACAACATGCGAGTTGCCGAGAGAGATTTCAATGCACATATTTGGCGACGAAGAAGTGTACTGTCGTAGGTTTCAAAAGGGAGGACTCTACCGCTGTGAAAGGTGCGTAGTAATTAGCTAGCATGTAGTGACAAGACTGCGTCCACAAGCAACAGTTCCTGAGATTGACTACAAATTCGGGGAAATATGGTGGGCACTGTGACGTCATTCGGTCAACCAGCATGCGAATTTCTGATAGCAAATTTCAGCTATAGTTCGCAATCCGCTGTAACAACGTTGCTTGTTAGTTTTATTAATAGTAACATGTATATTTCATAACAACAGCAATGAACAACCCAATGTTTTATCTTCTTTCGGGCGCACCAAAAGTAAAACAAGTGTGACTGCCTGTAGCCAATGTAAGGAAATCTTAACAACCATTAAACGTTCACTTCTAAACGCTACATATCAAAATGGCGTTAGTGATAGTTTGGAAGTGCGGGCTTAACTCATAAATAAACTCATAACGTAATTAATCCCGCGCGGCTTCAAACTGTTTCGGGCAACTTTAAAGTAAAATCTATTTCTATTTTTAATAAACAACGGTACGAGAATTGATTCTGCAATCGATGACAGATTTCCACCTACAGCTTTGTTTTGATAATATTAAACTTAAATGTTAATAATTAAGCTTAAATGTTCGATATAGTTCCCATGCAAAATTGTTGTTTACACGATAATAGAACGCGAGTTGCGTGGCGACTGTGGGTGCTTAACGACACAATTTACCCCAACAATTGAAACAAAACTAATTGTCGAGAAACAAAATATATGTATACTCATTACGAACGCAGTGGAAATATCGCATTTTAGCCGTGCCCCTTGACATTACAACTGCTGCCTGTCTTACTGAGCTGCATCGCATGAATCGTGCTGCACGCCGAATAATTTGTGTTCCAACTACGAACTCACAGCGTGAAGCCTTTAACACTGTCTCTTCATGAGGTCGGCGTTCGTTCTTAGTAAGTCGGCTCCCGGACCCTTGATAGTATCGACGTCCTTGCTATCGCTGCCAATCGTCATGGCTGTCATGCTGTTTTCCGTACTTGTGACGTTTTGGGGACAACGTGATTATATCATTATTAGCTCTGTTAAGGTGGCCCTAATTTCAACATTAAATTGCCTCTAGGTAGAACAAGAGCGGTGCGTTATGTGAACTATTAATCATGTCCACAGTTACTGTATATTTAAGACAATACTCATGGAATATGATATACATTGAGGTGAATACAAAAAGAAGGATAACTCAGGAAAGTCTTGTATCAAAGATTGAAATGCCATTATGAACCGTGATATAGATTTCTGTTCACAGTGAAAGATCATATCACCTCCCATATCACCTTGCATCGAACGTAGTCCCCCGTCACATGTTGTGACTATATTGAAATAGTATCCAAGTGGTGAATAGACTGATTTATCAAGAAATAACCATGGACTGTAGTAATTCCCGCATTCCCGGTTTAATAAAATCCTTTCAAAATGTATCCCATCCTTCGTTTATTATTTTTATTTCACCACACTTAATTTGTCTTTCATTTGTAAAGTAACATTTTTTCCACTATTAGAGGAATTACGTAACATATATTTTTAATTCATACGAACAAGTACACACCTCTCTACTTGCGTTATGATATGCGCTGTATCCGTTTACAACATATATGCATACTAGGGGGTGTCATTGGCTAACTTTAACAAAAATACCCGGAAGATCCATAAAAAGACGTCACCATAAAACGTACCCATTACCGAAATCGTGAAACGGCTTCCTTTGGTGTCCAAATAATCACTGAAACATGAAACCTTTCCTCATTTGGGAACGAATTAGCAAAGACAGTTTGTCCTCTTTTCTTTGTTGTATTTTTGTCTCATAAAATAAGGACTAATAAAATGGGTAGTAAAGGTATTGCGTCTATACATCTCATTCATTTTAATGCTGCAAGATATATTTAAATGACTTGTTTGTTTAAGTATCAGTTGTTTATGAACAATGTATAACATAAACTATATGCTCTGATTTTGAGATTGTTGTTCCGAGGAGTCAATTCTGTTTTGAACGAACTGCATGTTTAATTAACACATCAACTATCAACACTTTGTATACAAATTAATTTAAATTTTAATTGAAAACGTAGAAATTTGGATGTTCCTCTTTCCATTCACCTCACCTCGATTACATTCCTCACTAGTGGGCATACCTTTCTGTTCCGATAATTTCATTTTCCTCTGGCTCAAAGGCATTTCGTTATTTGGTAAAGAAATTCATTCGGATTGAAGAAATCAGACAACTGGAATGGAATGTAATTGATTAAAGGGAAGATGAAATGCACATGTCACAAAAATACGGGCAATGTAGATATCTCGCCGCTAGGGCTTCGCAAGAAACCTAGGACGTACAACTAGTAGTATAGTATTTTTAATTGAGGCGATCTTCTCAAATACAAGATGAAATTTAAATTAATTACCCTCGCTCTATGAAAAAGCGTAAACAAATCACCTAACAGATGGAGTTTATAAAGTCACCACATCGCAGAAAACACAGATCGTTGAGATTTTAGTAGGCCCCGGTATATTTTTTGGACGAGTAAGTTTTCAATTTTATTTTGTAACAAACGATTCCTTCGTTTATAACCAAATCGTTTAGCAATCTGAATAAAATAAAATAAAATAAAATTTCGTTTTTTTAGATATATATTTAATTATTATTTTTTCACGTATTTAATTTTTATTTATTGATTATTTATCGGTAGTTTTTAAAATTTTCTTAATCATGAAATAGCTAAAATAACACAAAATAAGATGTGTGTAATAACAAATCTAAAATATCAAACGATAAATCATATAGTAAAAATAAAATATGTGAAATAAACAAAATCATGCGGAGAAGAAATTGCACTCGTACTTTGAGCCTGCGTACTAATTGCACACGTACCGTGAGCCGGTGCACATCCGGCACCAAATCGACTAGCTATGCCTTTGGCATCCCCTCAAAAGAATGCTCAATCAAGCTGATACGTCCGATCACCACTTGACGGGTAGAAGAGATTATACTATACGAGCTCAATTGAAAAAAAAAACTTTTTAAGTTTCAATTCAGTAGATTAACTAAATGTTACAGTCAGTCGTAAACAACATAATTGCATTCTTTGCATGACGATTGAGAGCTTACATTTTCACGGTTTCCCTCGTCTATAACAAAGGGTTCCAAAATACTTCGCTGCCATATGTCACATATACGCACCTCGTTCGTGAAGCAATCAAAAAATACGTTGCCTGTTCTTTTTAAATTAATTGCACTGCGTATACAACTTTCTGTGCTTAACTTTCTACATTAGCAGCGATTGTGTGTTCATTAAAATTATATGTTCGCTATTTACAAACTGTATTGTAGTGTTTTTACTTAAAATTAACTAATTTGGAAGAAACAAATACCCGTGAAAATGTATCAACTGAAATAAATAAAGAAGATTTTAAAATACACCGCCAAACACTTTGAGCGCATTTTGTAGCATAATTTTGGTAATTCTATTAAAAATGTAAATTTGATTCAAATTTATACGGATTGTCAAGTTTTCTTTGACTATTTCAATGTATCCGTGAATTTCTTGCGCCAGCCCGCATCACAACGGATTTAAACTAAAGCCAGTAACAGGTTCTCACATCTCGGGCAGTGTTGACTTTGGGGGAAATAAGCTGGATACCATGACAATGAATGCATTAAAAGCAATTGATCGCTTCTGATGAGAACATATCACGTCGTGATTGCTGGCAACTGTGAAATTCCATTTACTATCGGTTTAAATAAACAATATATATTACAAACGTGTAACAGATAACGCTATTGAACTACAAAAGAATTATTGGCGCACACTGGATGACCCCTACAAGCTGTGTCAATATTAACGGAGTCACGCTCCAAGTCAACTTCTTAATTTACGATTGACACGTATTCAGTTGAGCATAAGACATCTACTGCATGTGTTAAAAGGCGAGATGAACGGATTGTATTGTGAATAGTTACAAGTCATGGTGTTGTTGAAACAAGCTACAGTTACATACACATATTACATCACCTTACGTATTTTGCTATTACAACACAAAACAGCGAAACGCAACACAACGTAACGTAACACAACGTAACGTAACACAACACAACATATAACACAACACAACACAAAGCTCAGCACAGCACAGCACAACACAACACAACACAAGACTACACAGCACGACAGACCACAATACAACACAACCCAACACAAGAGTACATAACACGACAAAACACAGCACAATGAAGCACAACACAACACAATACTACATATTGCAGAAAAGTACAGCACAGCGCAACCCAGCATACCAGAATACAACAGCACAGCCCAAAATCTGACTAAAATAAAGCAATATCCACTGTTTTCATTAAGGGAGTCAATTTAAAAAAATATATATTATTTTGTCCATCAAATAAATAAATTGATCATTTAATTTCAAAATAAATCCCTTAAACTCTTTCTCCATTTCACTCTTTATTTATAATTCTATGCAATTCAAAACATGTTGGACTTCTTCGCTCAAAACGTACTGCTACTACAATGGTAATCAGGCACCCTTGTTTGCACACGACACGGCAATGTGCGGTTTGTTATTACAGTTAAATAGTTATCAAATTTACACAATTTTGGAATTGTTTGAATGCTTTTTCATTTGGTATTTAATCCAAAGGTATAATATGAAGTCGTTAGTTTCTTGTTTGAGATTAATATTGTCCGTTGCCCAGAATTTATTCAAATCATGGTCTACTGCAATATTAGATTTAATCATCGATAACCACATACATCCTTCGCATGTGGCAAGTTTACAAAGAACCTTCTACCCCTGAGACTTTGCGTTTTTAGCGCGCTTTGCTATTGTCGCTTAAGACTCCATTTTCGCACGTGCGCAGATAACGATCCTCTCCGCTTTAAACTTTTGTATTTTATTTTGCAGTAGGAAGAATGGAAAATACTGTGAATAACGTGCATCCCACTCCCGTAGGTGAAGACACAGTGAATATGAACAGAAAGCAGACATCTTGCGTTGAATATATTCTACAGCAGTATGTGCCGAGAAAACTAAACATCAATTAATTTATTCCTGCATATTATTTATGTATTGAAACATTTTTCTTTATATTCAGTCGGAATTGCACGTCATTGACGTTTTACTAAAGTTCTGGATTTGCTCTACAAATCTTTGTTCGAAAATCAATTTCGATGTTTTTGTCCTAATGTTATTAAAATCGGGAACGGACATTTGACTTGACTTGACATTTGACCCGTTTAGTATTTTTTGAATATATATGACAGTATCAATCTATAGTTAACTGATTAGTACAATAACATGATCTGAAGAACGTGACTCATTTGCATAACAAAATGGCGCCACAACCCAAGTAAGTGTACAAAGAATTGTAATATACTATCTTGAGTTGCATCTCCGTGATGTTTTCTGTTAATCTTTCTGCACTATGTATGTCAATTTTTAGTTACTGTGAGGTAATAAAGCAAATTCACGAAAGGGTTCTTTTATTTCTTTAAATTGGTGGTCCAAGATGTCTTGTCATTTGTTTCGATTTATGACTGGTGTGGAGGTGACTTGTTCTACCTTTTCTAAGATTTTAAATTATATTATTTGGCTTTGACCACACTCTAAAATACTGGTTTTTAAAATATTACATGGAAATATACAATCTATAATGTTGTGTTGGAATCTACAAGTCATCTCTAGTCTGTGAGCTGAATGTGTTCAAGTAGTTTTATACGACTAATAATTCCTACTATCTACTTTATTAACACATAAATCAAATAAATAGTCGCGAATTTGAAATTATACTTTTTTATGGTAATATCAGCGAAGTGTGTTGAAGGGCGCTTCTAAGGTGACGAATTACCTCGATTGGTGGAAATCGGCAGTTGCACGACTCCAATGTGTATACAATGTAACAGTGGCAGCATATACCGTCGGGGCGTATAGTTAAAAAATGAAGATACAACTGATAAAAAAATAACTATATTACAAGTGACTGTATCCAAGAATCAAATGAAGCTAATTATTACCCCATATTCGATCGCGTGCGATTAGAACTCGCGCATATTTCGACCATCAGATAGCTCACATAACAGTCCCAATATCCCAATAACGCTTTATTTATAGGAACATTTTTTCGGTGACGATTTTGTAATATAATTTGCCAGCAATTACTAGTCTTTCACTAGTTTACTGTACCCGCCAGTTCGAATTCTATTTGGGTTGAACGCCAAAATAGGACGATCTTATCTTAATGCTTGGTAAGTGTGTCACCCACGATGATCATGATTCGTTAATGAGTGTGAATTGCTGGAAACCTTGATCATGTCCACAGGTGCCTGTGTTCGATATAATAATGAATTGCCATAATGATATTATGATTGAAGGGACTGATTACATAGTACTAAATATGAAATTCAGCTCTGCAACCACACTTGCACTAACATATAAAATAAGACAGAAAAAAACAACAACGTTGCAGTGTATTGATTGATAACTTTTCCTGTTTGGCACATAGGCATTTAGGAGATGATAGTTTGGTTCAAGTGCAAAAACTAATTTTTACAAGTGATATTCACATGTATATTTGCCACTTGCCATGTCATACAAACATGTGTTCACACATTTGGTATCACCGATATGATTGTGGCTCAGTGTTACATGGATTTAAACAAAACATGAACAAATAGTGAAACATGCCACAGCTCATGCCCATTTGAAATGACGAACCCCAAGTGCATTCTGGGACATCCAGAACGCCATGAGAAATGTTAACAATTTTAACTGCACTTTTGCATATCGCTTTTATTAAACGTACAAATATTCCACAATTCGATCTCAATATTAGATATACATAAATAGGTTACTCCTTTGTAATTTATTGCTCCGAGATGTGTAGATTTATCTTTTTTGAAATTAGCTAGCATATCTGGAAAGCTTGAGTGAAATATCAGAATGGAGACACCTGCGCCGTATATCTAACAACTCTGTTCTAGAGCCCGAACTAATACGTTGATGTATTACGGTTTACATAAATGGCAACCTAAAATTAAAGTTTGGTTACACGGGCAAATAAGTAACGACGTTGTCAAAGTAACATAATACGTAAGAAGGCCCCGCCCACCCTACATGCAATTATGATTCATTCTGTTTTCAGCCATAGTCACAGCAATGCTACCTATAGAGGGCGCTTTCAAACGACAACTGTCTTGACACATCAACACTGCTTAAACCGGGTGTTCAACCACGCGTTGATTCACTAGGATTTGCTTCTCTTCCGAATTATTGTGAGTCGCAGAATTCGCACAATTCATATCCGTATATATGCCACACAATAGCCCCGAGACCCAAACAAAACTTAATGAGTATACAAATATATGTATATAAATATTTTCATAAAATACCAAATCCTTCGCCTTCCTTCTATTTCAAACAGAAAACCCCTTTTTGTGATAGTTTGTATACATGAAGTATTTTTCTCTCAATGATTTAATTATTTAGTGTAACAGTAAATTTTTTATTATTTAATTGTCCAATGTTCTATGTTTCTGGACTTGTAACACTGGCATTTCCCGATAAAAAAAAATCATTAAAGATTTACGAGTGGGCCCGTATTACTAGTATGTTATTTCCATTTTTAAAGTTTCTAATTTTGTTGTATTTAAATTTCCTCAATATGCTTTTATACATCTCAATTTTTCCCGCCTTCTATAGATAAAAGTAAAAAATAAGTCTATGTGACAATTCCGCACGTCATTAACTACGAACTTTTAGATATTAACGTGACAGTGTATGTTTGTTAATAATAACTCTAGAAACACAGGGTGTGTATTCTCATTTCTGATGCGATGGTTAGGTTCGCACTACAAGCTAAGGTTCGTTTATTCGGTCATCCTAATCACTACACTTTGGCAGATGATATTTAGTCAACGTATATTTAAGTGCGTCCTCTCTAGCAATGCTAGATTATTTTCATCAATACGCTGTCCGTCAACTTGCTCGCTATAGCTACTTCACACACAAAACATGATGTGCATGATGTAAGCTCTCAGTATGATATAAACATACACTTGCAACCGTCACACGTTTAAAAACACAGAAAATGTATTTACGATATGTCTCCGGGGTGAGGACAGCGAACTGGTAAGACTTTAAGAGCTAAAACAATGATATTAAAATTTTGCGCAGACCGACCCATGCTTGAGGCGTAGGTTTCGTGCTGTACGTCGAACGGGTGCATGAAATTGAACTGCCGTGCTCGCATCAAACACGCACTGTAACAAAATTAATTGGTGGCCTGTATGAATAGTTCGACCAACTGTAATCTTTTTCAGTACTAGGCCACATAACGAAGACGATCCTGGCATGTGAAAGCTGTGGAAACACAGTCAGCTGGCGTACATATTTGATAATAAAATAAGTGCGACCAATTTACCGACATTTACTATATGAGGGCCGCCGTCTTGAATACGCATGAGCTAAATAAATAGACAATTTAAGAAACGGGATTTTCAGATTCCCACACACCAGAGGAAAAATAACAAACTTTCACCTGTCAGCCAAATTATGCGTTTGGGCAACATTAAGCCAAAAATCTGACCGTATTCGTCTTTGTTTGGAAAAATCCTTTACATACGAACACCTAATTTGAGGGAACTTTTGATTTTTGCATTAAAAGTGAAGTTCCCGGATCTGTCATGGCTTCCGGTTGTACTTTAATATCTCGTTGACATCTCTGTTTATTTACTGTCGTTAAATCTTACATAATTTCCGCCATCATGTCTAATCCAGCGCCTCCAATATACTCAGACAGATTCTGTATTCACGCTTTTAAATGTCATGCTTAAAGCGGAGCAGTAGTCACCTGCGCATGTCATGTGTCAGATGGCCATAGCCTGTCAATGTTTACAAACAAGCGTCTACCCATGAACCTTTGCGTTTTTAGTGTGTGTTGTTATCGTCACGTGCGCAGGTGATGCCCCCTCCGCTTTAATATTCAGTATTCCCTCTACATTATCGTCCAGCATCATGTACACTTGTCTTCCAAAGGACTTGACATGTCTCAAAGCAGGGTTTGATGAGTTCGTATGAGTCTAATATTACTCACAACCTGTCCGTATTTGGATAATTACTTTTGCAGCACAATATTTGAAATAAAAGGTGGTACACCAGACACAATTACCTTGGTCTCTGGCTTGACCAGCAGCTCCACGTACACAAAAAAACCACACAAATACTACCTATACAAACATTCTCGACTGACTGAACAGAGTCGAGAAACATGATCACACTACCACTGACACGGGATTCAGGAATAACCTTTAAATGCCGGAAGACACCAGAAACACTGTTGACATATGCTTCAATACTTGTACCAGTCGCCATCTTGGTTCTACTACCATGCAAGCCAAAGCGTGAAGAGAGAAAAAAGACGATGAAACAAGAACTATTTATCAACGAAACCTAAAAAAACAACAGAGTGGAGCCGAAAATTCTCATAAACAAACGTGGTAAGGTTTTAGATAAATAGCACGATTAGCGATAAGCATAATCCCCAGCGAGCCCGTATGGGATTCTACCTAAGTAAAATGCATAGAAGCAATTAGATTATCATACTTCTTGTAACATATGGTTATAAAAAAATATAGCGTAATCGTTAAAGAAAGTTCATTGAAGTGGACATGAATTTTATCGTGACTGCTTGCTATCTACCATTGCTAGCTCAGTACACCTTATAATACAATTATCGTAATACCGGCTCTCCACCTATTAGTTATCCTTCTCTTCAACTCGTGTATAATCAGACATGAAGTAGCGATTAGCCGCATGAGCTACTCTTTTGTTCTTTCAATTTTCAATACCACCAGTTTGAATCAACCTGCCTCTGTGTCAACACCTGCAAAACTTAGAATTCTCCACGTGTTTAGTTCAATGTCCTTAAAATGACATTCATGGATTGTTTGTTCCTGGTC